TGAAGTAAATTTAATAAATGAATGAACAAATTAATAATTACAAAATGAAATAAATTTTTAAAAACACAGAAAGAAAGCAACCCCCCCCTCCCCCGAGTCTAAACTGCCTTACAGAGGAGGTGCCAAAATAGCAAACCGACACCTAGACTGGAAGTCGCTAGGAAAACAATTGTTTTCTCTCCCAGAAGCATCACATAATCCCTTTTGTGTCAACTCAGCAATTTGTCTTTGATGTTGATTTACTGAGCATTGTAAAGAAATGTGGACACCTCTTCGAATTTTGCAGAATAGGTATGATGACTCAGGGCTTCTTAATTGGAATGCAACGCTGGAAAAACCTGAACAAAAGCAATACAAAAAAATAATAAATACTTGAGCCTGAGCTATTTTTCACGCAACAACCATTGCAGCCTGACAGTTTGGGGGTATTTTGAATCGTTAAATAAAAAGATTATGAAAGTTTGGAGGCACTGATTACGAATATCACATTTCATTCGAACTTAAAATTAGAATTTTGGGGGTTTGTTTTGCTTTATTTTTAGCTATGACTTACTATGATTAACTATGACTGATGAATCATATTAAGACCGAAAAAAACCCCGCACGCGCCACTTCTACCGAGCCGTCTTTTGTCCAGTGGAGTCGCGCCGTTTTGGCGGACACATTCAAAAGGAATTATTCTCATTGACTGCTAAGACGAAAAAACCCCGGTTCTCTTGTGTAACAACCGACTTATTAAGAGACGTACGACGGGCGGTTTCTGTTTTGGTGGACACACAGCCTTAGACTTAGAGCCTTGACAAACGATTACCAAACGGAAAAAGCAACCTAGTGCCATAGTCCAGTGGTCGCTTATGTTTCTATTTCACTACTACTACTACTACTACTACTACTACTACTGCTACTACTACTACTACTACTACTACTACTACTACTACTACTACTACTACTACTTCTTCTTCTTCTACTACTGCTGCTGCTACTGCTACGGCTACTGCTACTGCTACTACTTCTACTACTACTACTACTGCTTTCCTTCAAATAAATATGTTACGTAAATGATTAACCCTTAGCGATCTCTGACTCCATATTATGATTATGATTTGGAGATGAAGGAATATTGATTTGGCAAAGTACACGACAGAGAGGAGAAATAGTCTATGACGGTAGGAGCCCTGAGGAAAGGAAACTGAACTCTTGTTTCATTTAGTTTCGTGTGATCTATAAAAAGGTCGGATGTCCAGAACTGACGCAATTATGCAGACTCGACCAGCCAGACGATGTTTAACATATGGGCAGAAGTTCAGCTGCTGTTTCAGTAGACACGTTATGATGCCACTTAGAGTACATTACAAGCCAGAGGTACATTTGGGAAATGTACTGCTTTGTACTGTTTTCGAGAAGATCTAAAAGTGGAAGATGTTTGACTGCCACTGAAGAAGAAAATAAGAATCCGAGGGCTATGGAAATTTAAGGATTATTTAAAACTCAAACTTTGCCTGTATTGAAACATAGCGAATACGTCAAACATAGGAGATTAGAACGAATAATATCTACAAACGACAAGATTATATAAATTAATAATCAAAATCATATTTTATTGTATTTATTTTTCAAGAGAATGTGAAGTTAGACTAAGGTAAACGATACTTACCAAGTTTTTTGGTGTATCGTACGCATGAGTCTATGGATGACAAACTGCTGTGACCTTTGTGAACTCACATTCAGATCCACGATAGATTCATACTATATCTGTGTTTTGTACAGGATGCTACAGTTCCTGATGCGGTGATCACATTCCAGTGTTGAATTTTCCACTGTGTGGGACTTGCTTACTTTGGACCCCCAGCAAGGTACTGACAAGAGAAACCATGGCAAGGATCGCTGTGCAGAATTCATTGGAGACCTCTCAATGGGTAAGTTGAATAAATATGGATGTCTTTGTGCGAATATGAAGCGATTAAGAAGAGATGAGTTCACATTACATAAAATTTATGATTAGAAACGATGAGCATTGCATAGTAAAATTAGACATGATTAGATTCGATCTGCTGTATCAGCTCTCAATATCAAGACAATATATCAAAATAGAGCCAGGGTTAATAAATGGAGTGTGAGGTTAAACAGAGAAAATGTTTTAAGCTTTAGTAATTCAACTGAGTTTCGGGCTAAGACATAAGGCTGATCTTTTTTTTAAATAGTAGAGGGTTTTTCGGTCCTCGCAACTGCTTAAGGTCATATGAGCGCCGTATAAGGCTGATTAACAAGATTGAGTAGATTAATTAAGCTGGGGGTGTATCGGGCAGCTTGCTGGGATGTTATATCTGTCTCAGCCCGGGTTGACTGTGACAGGCAGGATTAAAACAAGGCTATCTAAATGATCTCAGTATTGTCATGGAGGCGGAAAAAACCGCGTTCATAAAAAAAAAATTTTGATGACATTTACCTTTACTGACGAACGCTTTAATGATGGCCACACGATTGTCAAACACTCATCCCTTTAGAACATGCCTCAACGATTACATGAAAGCACACAGTTTCAAAATAAGCAAGACAGACAACAAACAATCGTTTCAAATAGTTGTTAACCCGACCGTGAATCGAGTGACACGAGAATTCCAATAGGACATCAGAACAGAACAATACATGTGACAATTTTTTCACCTTCTCTCTCTTCTTTTTTTTGGTTAGTGTTTTACGCCACTTGTAACTGCTTAAGGTCATATGAGCGCACGGGACACACCTAATACTTTCAGTTGGTGAGAAGTTTTGAATTTTGCCCGCGGTCGAAGCCTATTCTTATCGATTTTAGACCACCAAGGGATTTTTTTAACGTGCACAACTTGCACACGGGCCCTCCGAGATTTTTAGCCCTTGTCCGAGAAGGCTAGATGTAGATCTTTCCTACCAGAAGATCAAGGGTATGGCAGAAAGACTGCAGTAAAACGGAGCCAAGGAGTAGCAGTAGAAAGGCTGCAGAAAGAGTCAGGAGCCCAGAGGAGGGGGCAAATGAGGTGAGGGGATGGGGGCATAAAGAGGAGACGAAAGCAGACGACAGAACATTGCTAGGGAGCAGAAAAGAAGGTGAAAGGAGACAATTTTAGAGAAGAAAATTTTTCCGTCGCTACCCGGATTCGAACCCAGGACCTTTGAATGAGAGGCCAACACCTTAACCTCTAGGCCAGGAGAGCCCCCCCCCCCCCCCACCTTCTCTTGACGAGCATTCTACCAAGACGTCTTTTTGCTCCCCGGCCGCTATTCTTTTTCTGCTGTCTTAAAATGTTGTACTATTTTTATATTAGGTAAAACGTGTATAGAAATAAGACAACGCAGAACTTGAGCATTGCCAAAATTAAGTAGATAAGTAACAGCAGAAACGAGTAAAAGATGAACGCACAGACGAATAAACTCAAAGTCAAAGAAGGAACGAAAGAAGTGTTTATTATTCTATACATCCCCCCCCCTTTCCACTTTACATCATTGTTTTGTTTTGTTATTAGCTTTTGTTTTGTTTTCGTAAGGTAACGACCGTTTGTTAATCAACATCGTGTCAAGTTTGCATGAGGCAGAAGAAATAATTAGTTGTGTGCTTCGACGTGTTCTGACACATTCAAGACCATGCTTTGTTTCATGTCCACTTTGATGATTTGTTCAGAATACGTTGTTGAAGTTTTTGAGAAACTTCTTAACTATAACCGGAAACCTTTTACCCGTAAAGGTGTGTCTATATTTAATTGTCAAAGCTTACTTCGTCACAACAAACTCGACGATGACAACGAAGAGGATGATTATGATAGAAACAGCAGCATCAACAAAACAGCAGTAACGTTAACATCACTTCCCTTACACGCCTAGCTCCCAGCCCTACTATGGTAACTACTGACCACGACAGCACCAACAATAACAACAAAAACAAATACAGCAAAAGCAACACAATTCCCCCTCCCCGTCTACACCCCCCCCCACACACACACACACACACACACACACACACACATACACACACACACACACACACACACACACACACACACACACACGCACGAGCGCGCGCACAAGCACTACAGCAGTCCCATAAAATAACAAATGCGAGAAGAACAGGTAAGACGGTTATATTCTTTTTAGAAGTCTATACAAGCTGTAAGTATACAGTTACATTAACATAACCACTGGTATGTTCCCTTAAAACGTACCACAACTCTTCCCTACGTGTCACGAGTCTCTGTGTTACAGGCTGAAATCTATTAATAAAATAGCAAACTAGTAACATTTTGTAATTGTTTAAAATGTATACCCCCAGCACACAGTTCACATCATTAAGCAGACGGACTGCTTCGGGCTAAAAGGTGCAGGACGTCCACAGCAGACGTAGTCCAATTGACAAAAAATAATAAACTCCCAAAAGAGAAATCAAATTCACGTCTTCTTTGCACTGCGCTGAAGAGCCTAACCATCACATCAGACATGCCAGACTAAGAATGTCTAGGAGGTTATTGTGGATAACATGTACATAGTTCAACATACCGTTGCCATTTGTGATACGATTAAATAACTACAAATTAATGTTCGATTTGCTTTTTTTTGGGGGGG